TCAAAAGCTTCCCCCTTTTGGTTGCAATATCTTGAGCTTTGTGCACCTATACAAGTTGTGAAGCTTAAAAGATAGGACCAAATGCATGTTTCTTCTAAAAATAAATAATAGTCAAAAAATGCTGGGCGTAATACACAGTAGGAGAATATGTTGTCAGAAATTCTTGGTAAGAACAGAATTGGGTAGAAATCAGTTCATCTCACCATATCAGTGACATAATCAACAACGATGTCCTCCACAAGTGCCACAGTTTCTGGAAGCGGCTGATAGTACAGCAGTAGAAGCTCAGTAAATCAGAGCATAAAATAATACCAAATCACAGAAGATCAGAACAAGATTAACTTTGAGAGACAACATTTAGATATACAAGGCAATCAACTATCATGCTTTCCAAATTCATTTGAAGTCCAGTATCAATTGACTGCAGTGAAAACACTAAACTTGATGCCACAAAAGAAAACATATTAAGAAGAAAATCTGCTAGCAACACTATATGTATTAATGGTGGAGACAATAGCACAGTACAAGCGTGCTCAAATCACTTATGGAGCAGGGACAGGAAAATCTGTTAAACCAGAAAGGAGTGTGCTACAGCAAAATAGATTATCCTTTATGGAGAGAAAACTAGACGAATATGGCACAAAATTTGACTCCTGATTCAGTTCTTTCTTAAGTATCTGCACAAGTACTCCAAAGTTCCTCTGAAAGTTATTGCTAGAGTTTAGACAAAGGCTTAGTTATGTTACCAAAAGAAAGATCAAACTGTTTCCTGTAGCCAGCGCATGTTGTTGTAAGAACATTGTTAGGCAGAAACCAAAACGCCATACTCAATATGTACCAACAAAATCTGCAATTTTTTCTAGTATTAATGTGCACACAAACAAAGAACTTGGCAATAGCAGCATGGCATATTCTACTCAATTTCCCCACAAACAAAAGAATTAGTGAATATAAACATCACCAAACATACACAAGGGGAAAACAATAAAAGATGGAACATAAAAGTGAAAAGGCATCTTACATTACTATCATCTCCAAACCCATACATCATGTGTTGCACTGTGCAATGAAACAGAAGAAACATTAATAAACAAAACTTGGATTCATTGATCTATACACGCCTATGCGAACATTAACTTACGGTCTTTCTGAAACATGCCACGTTTTCTTTTTAATGAACTTTCTGATGGTTGCGAAGCTCCTACTCTAGCTTTTGACGATGGCCCTATAGAAGAGTTGTTCATTTTCTATTTATTCCAACTTTCACTTTTCAACCTGCAAAAGTATTCAATAACATCCTCATACCGCAAGCACCATTAAACAAATCAGATTATCAGTTAGATACACCAAGCAGACGCCATGGGGAAACAAAAAGAGTTATAAAACTGAATGCATAAAGAATGTCCTCCTATAAAACTTGTAAACGTTAACATCAACTTAACTGGTCATAAATTATACAAAAATCCATTAGTTTTTCTTACTTTGGACAAAAGGGAGCTCATGGTATAGCCAAAACTTATCTAATTGAAGCAGACACAAAAGAAACAGTACTTGCAAGATAAACTGGCGGAAAACATTCTCCTTCTTTAACATGATTATCAAATCCAGGACAAAGAAATTCCTAAAAACGATCAACGCCGGGAATATAAGGAAAAAAACAAAGGCACATTTCGTATAACATAAGAAAAATTGCACTAATACCGCTTGTTTCCACAAATTTCGACGTTGCAGTTAAGTTATTTTATGGCCAATCAACTGTGTAAAAATCTAACTTTTTGCCCTAGGAAACTGTTAGGGGAGACAAAATTTGAAGAAAAACTTGCAATTGTGTTGATTAGTCGATTCTACTGAAGAAGAAAGTGCGATAGAAAAGTGAATTTCAAATTGAAATCTCCAACAATGATTAGGGCATCAGGCGGTGGATTTTATGCAGTTTAGTTCGGCAGTCCTTTAAAACAGGTACTGACTTTAACGGGTTTCAAATCAATTGGGGCGGCCTAATCGGAATTACTGATTTATGAGTCGACTACAAAAGGAGCTGTATAAGTGGCGATTAGAAAATGCGACTTATAAGTCGCATCCATAATTACGATTCATAAGTCACTATTCCTATAGCTCACGCGCTTTTTGGGTCGTACTTGTGAAATATTGCCTTTCCCAAAATACATTTTATAACCAACATTCTAAATTACGATTTAAGTCACATTTTTCCTCGGAACAAGCGGAAAGAATTTTTTACCCCCTTTGTTTCGAAAGGAAGGTGAAAAAGTGCAAATTATTTTTTTCCAAATTGTGAAGTTGTGTTTGTTTGATAATTTTCTAAAAAGTTACTTTATCAAAATTACATTTTTTATAAAAAATACTTTTTTACATGATTTTTTTTCTTTCTTAATACACTTATTAGGTAATTACAAGTCAATCTGTGTGATATAAATTAAGTGGTAACCTGAAAAAATTAATGACTAGTCTACTATCACATGCTAAACAATAGTTATATACTATAAAGAAAATCTTAACACTATTAACATATACTATATATATAACTTATGTTTACCTAATAAATAATATGATTGCGTAAATTTTTATAATGTATATGCATATAACTTAAATTCTTCAATTTGTCATAGAACAAGGACAAATAGATTTATGATGCAAAAAATAATGAAAAGTGGATAACTAGTTTAATGGAAACTAAGGGACTGAAAAGTGGAAAGACCATAGTAAATCAAAAAGAGATACTAAAATTCATAAATTTATCTTGTCTCAATAATAATAAATATTGTGATGACCCAAAATGTCATCTTTAAATTTAATAATTAATTCTTGTGTTCTAAGCCCTCTATTATTTATCATTCATCGACTTGCGTGCGCAGTCCGTATAATTTTTCGAAAAGTCTTTATGTGAAAAAAATGGATTAAAATGTGAATTAGAGCTTTAAAACTCAACTGAGTTGACTTTGGTCAACATTTTGAGCAAACGAACTCGGATCAGTGTTTTGACAGTTCCGGTAGGTCCGTATCGTGATTTGGAACTTGAGCGTATGCCCGGAATCAAATTCCGAGGTCCCTAGCCCGAGATATGGAATTTTGATAAAAACAATTAAAAGTTTAAGTTCACATAGTGACCGGATGTCGAATTTTGTGCAAACGACCCCGGAATAGAGTTTTGATGATTCCAACAGCTCCGTATGGTAATTTTGGACTTAGGAGCGTGATCGAAATTTTATTTAGAAGTCCGTAGTGAAATTAGGCTTGAAACGGCAAAATAGGAATTTAAAGTTGGGAAGTTTGACCGGGGAGTTGACTTTTTGATATCGGTATCGGAATCCAGTTCTGAAAATTTTCACAGCTCCGTTATGTCATTTATGACTTGTGTGCAAAATTTGAGGTCAATCAGACTTGATTTGATAGGTTTCGACATCGAATGTAGAAGTTGAAAATTTTAAGTTTCATTAAGCTTGAATTGGAGCATAATTCGTGGGTTTAGCGTCGTTTTATGTGATTTGAGATTTCAAATAAGTTTGTATGATGTTTTAGGACTTGTTGGTATATTTGGTTGAGGTCCCGAGGGTCTCGGGTGAGTTTCGGATGGTTAACGGATAAAAAATGGGACTTAAACAGCTGATGCAAAAGCTGCTGCAAATTTTCTTCTGCTGTGCAATCGAGCCACCAGAAATCGAGCCGAGGATCGAAGGCAGGCTCGATATCCATGATCGAAGGCAGGCTCGAGGGCCATGATCGAAGGCCATAAAGATCGAAGCCATGATCGCTTGCCAGGATTGATGGATGTGATCGAGCCTCAGGGTCGAGGACCATGATCGAAGGCCATGACCGAGGTCCATGATCGAACTCCTATAATCGAGGTCCAGGATCGGACCCCATGATCGAGGTCACCCTAGACAGATCTGTAAGTTATTAAATCAGGGGGCTTCGTCCCATTCGCCATTTTTAATAACTTAGAGCTTGAGCAGAGGCGATTTTTGATATATCTTCAAGGAAAAACATTGGGGTAAGTGTTCTTAACCTAATCTTGGTTAGATTATCCGAATCCATCACTGTTTTTAACATTTAATTGGTGATTTAAGTTGGAAATTTTTGAAAACCCTCTTGGATAGATTTGTGGATTGAAGGGTCGAATCGTTATTGGAATTTAGTCATTTTGGTATGGTTAGACTCGTGGTTGAATGGGCGTTCATATTTCGTAATTTTCGCCGGATTCCGAGACATGGGCCCCACGGGCCATTTTTGAGTTAATTTCGGATTTTTATTGAAAAATGTAGTATTTTCTTATAGAATTAATTCTATAATTTTTGTTGACTGTATCAAATTAATTATGACTAGATACGAGTCGATCGGAGTCGAAAAATCGAGGAAAAAACATAATACTTGGTTAAATTGGAGCAAGTCGAGATAAGTGACTTGTCTAACCTTGTGGAGGAAAAATTTCCCCTAGAATTGATATTAATGTGATTATTGAAATGTGTTGAAAGTCGTGTACACGAGGTGACGAGTGTGTACACAGGCTAAATGTGAAAGATTATATTTTTAAATTGTGTAGATAATTGTTGCGCATTTATTAAATTATTTTATCTTGTTATACTCTTCATCATTGATCTGAGATATATATTTTAAATTTGTTTGATCTTTTCCTGCTAATTGTTTTATCTGTTTAGTTGGAACTTGGTTTCTTTTATTCTGTGCATTATTTGAAGGTTGATTTTCTTTAAATTAAATATTATTAATATGAAGTATTTGACATTTTTAAACTTGATATTAAAGCAACGTATTAAAGATTTTGAAATACTATTTTCCTGAATTATTTACTCCTGAATATTTTTGTAAGATTTTCGTACTTATTGTGGTGGAGCAGTTAGCTCTTTATTGTGGAAACATATTGTTGTTGAATTATTTTGACATGAGCCGTGAGCTCTTTATTGTGAAAAAATATTATTGTTGAATTATTTTGACATGAGCCGTGAGCTCTTTATTGTGAAAAAATATTATTGTTGAGTTATTTTGACATGAGTCGTGAGCTCTTTATTGTGGAACAATATTGTTGATGAATTATTTGTGCAAGTTAAATTATTTGAGCACCTGAAGTGCAAATTGTGATATATTGTGATATTGATACGCATGCGGTGGTATAAGGTCTGGGTATTGAAATGCATGCGGTGAGATAAGGGTGGCTTGATACGCGTGGCTAGTAGGGGGAACTACTAGAGGTCATGCGGTGTGATAAGGATGACTAAAACGTGGGATGCTATTTCGGAAAAAATATTTTCTTTAAAATAAATTGTGAAGGCTCCCGCGGTGAGATAAGGAAATGAGACATTGTGAAATTATTTATAATTTGGGACTACGAGGCGGTACCTCGGTAGTGCCCTTGTTGATATTGATTTATGGTCATAGTTGCCTTCGATTAATTGTTGTGATTTTCATAAAGTTGAAATAAATTCTGTTTTGATTCCACGAGATATTATTTGCAATTATTTGGTGTCATTAAATGTGAGATACTATTTGATTCATTTGCATAGTCATTTTATCTTATTAAATTGTTTAAACATTTTTCCATGTCATTATCTATTCTCCAGTAGAGACTAGGTGCCATCACGACCTCCTACGGAGGGAATTTGGGGTCGTGACAAATATATACATTAAGTTAAGTTAAATAAATGGATTTCTAGAAGATATAATACGTTAAATTAAATAAATGGACTTATAGAAGATAAAGTAAGGTTGCATAAAGTATTAGAACAACTCAGCATCTCTGTCCTTCCTTTAACTTTTTGCTGTTAGCTCATCTTAGGGTTGATTTTTCTTAGTTAACTTCTTGAAAATTAGGTAAAATAGATCTATAACAATGTTATCAAATTAAAATGGACCATCTGTCCTTCTTAGAACTATTCCTTCATAATGAAATATGCATCAACAATTTTAAGTTACCAAATTAACCTAACAAGTATGTGATATATTGCAACGCCAAAGTCTACGGTCATATCTGGTTGGTAAAAGATTCTTTTTATGTACTGCGGCTCCAAATTACCATAGAAGCTACAAGGCGCCAAGGACAAGCTACTGGAAATTTAATTCCAGTAATCTCAATGCTATGGCTTAAAAAATAAGTGAAAAGGAAATATAAAGGTGGCCATGATCAAGAGTTCTTTTATTTTCAGGTAACCTTTAGGCTTTAGTGCAAGGATAGAAGAAGCACAAATAAGTGCACTTCTTGAACAGATTTAAATTAAAACCAGATAAAACTTCAAACATCACCTACATTTTAGATTCCCCATTAATTAATTTCTTCTATCTTTCCTTAGACAACAGCTTAAGATAAAAAGAAGAAAACTGTGATTATGGCTGTAAAAGGGATCTAACTTTATGTTTCCTTTTCACTTTGTTTTAGAAAAAAAAGAAAACCATCATCAGAAAATTGTACGTAGATAGAACCAAATATCTTTCCTTTTTAGTTCGACCATTCATTTCGAAATTGAGGCCACATAAATATACAAACACATGTAAATGCATTCTTTTAGAAAAAACAAACAAATATTAGCATTTCTTGTTCTGAAAGCTCCAGCGACACACATAGGGCGATGTCTTTGTTCTAGTACCTCAAAAGCCAAAAAAAAAAGTGTCACTTTCAGTACTTTATCCAAATGTGAAATGAAATTCCAGTATCACCCAAATTATACAGCAATGGCTTGGGCTGATCCTAAATATAGCCACCAGTTGCATAGATTTTGACATCATACCTAAAATGGGTTTCAGGGGACAAAAAATAGCCACAAGGCTTTGGTCCAAAAGAAAAGGTAATACAATGTGATATGTATAGTACTCGTACATTGCAACTTTAAATCATGACTGGTATTTACGTGGAGAGGGTAAAGGGACACGTTCATTATCCACAGGGTTCTGAAACTAAAAACCATGGATTTCTCAGTTATCAAACAACACTACATCTTGTCACACCTCCTTTTTCCCGAAGAATAGAGTGTTTTTCCAATCAAAGTGACATTATCCGAAATGGGATTATTTATTTAATCAGAGTAGCCACTTGGAATAATTATATGGTGTCCCAAGTCACCGGTTTATTTTAAATCCCAAATCGAGGAAATTTGACTCTGTTTTAAAGTCCGCGAAAACCAGAAGACCGGGTAAGGAATTCCGTTAACCTGAGAGGTGTTAGGCATTCCCGGGTTCCGTGGTTTTAGCACGGTCGCTTTAATCATACCTGGCTTAATTAATTTGTTTAATTACGTGTTTTAAAACGTGTGTTTTTTACCTTTTACCGCTTTTAATTATGGTGTTTATGGATTTATCTTTGAAACGGATCACGTGTGCGTAAATTCGTTTTATTTGGGGCGCTAAAATCATGTCACGCGTACATGTACACACTTAATCACGCTTTATTAATTATTAAGATTGTTTCGCTCAAAGTTGCGCGAACGCATACTTTGATCTTAATTTTGTTACCCGTAATTATTAAGATTGTTTCGCTCAAAGTTGCGCGAACGCATACTTTGATCTTAATTTTGGAACCCGTAACAATTATTAATTATTAAGATTATTTCGCTCAAAGTTGCGTGAACGCATACTTTGATCTTAATTTTGGAACCCGTAATTATGTCATGCGAACATATACATAATCACGATAATTTGATTAATTTAAAAAAAAAAAGGCGTGCCTAAAGCATTCTAACACATTCATGGATTATGTTTTTCTACTTTGAGATTATTGTGAGGCCATGACTTATGGATCAAATATTATTGTGGAGAAAGATGTATGATTGTTGATAATTTTGACGACGTGCTAGCTTGTGTATTTGGTTGACTGCATGCTAGCGTTCGATACTTATCTGTTAGGATGAAAGGAGCATGGTCCAACTCACTCATGTCAGGCCAAATAAATGGCCAGATTACCTCCAGATTTCAACTAAACTCCACGGCCCATTAATAATCAAACTTAACCCATTCCAATTAGCTCTATCCAACCCCCACAATCCAGTGACGTTACAATCAGCTTATACCCCACAACCTTTTAATTTCTAACAAGCAAACACATGGCCCATTATTACTAATCCCCTCATTATTCAATTAATCTTTGCAATTTCCATGATTAACGCGAAGATGCAGTAACAAACATGAGACAACACCAAGCGAAAATGACGAACCAAACATAAGGCACTCAGAGATAATGAAGCTAACCGCAGATGAAATACACAAAGCTAAAAGAAAAATATCTACAAGAAACTAAACAGAAAAACAAATCAAGCATTTAATTAAAGCAATACCAACTAAAGCAAACATAATACCATTGAAACAGTAGATAGAGAAACAGACCTTTGTAAGTGCCTCAAACTAAACTTCACTTAACAGAAAACTTCCGAGCAGAGTTTGGTACAGAAACGATGACTATTCAGCTAGCAACGACCAAAGCCGGCAACAATTCCGGAGCCAAAAATGCTAACCGGTCTTCGACTAACAGAAGCGCAGCGGCTCCGGGACCTCGAATGCGACCTCCAAATCGCAATAGTGTTTTGTGGGTTGAGATGAAGTTATTTTGCTGCGTTTGTTTCAGCTGAGTATTGCAGTAGTTTCAGGTGTTTTAGAGAAGGTTTGTGGGTGCTAAAACACCTGAAACTAAGGTGAAGAAGAAGGAATTTTGGGGGCTTCTGCCGGCAAATTTTAAGACCTCTAGCTCTAAGGTTTCTTTGCCTTCTTCCCTCTGTTTTTCCAGTCTTTTTTCCCTTTTCCGTTCTCTGTTTTTTTCTTTTCTTTTTCGTGTGTGCGTGTGTTGAGGAAGAAGAGAAGGCTCCTAGGGTTCTTTGGGTGTGAGGGGAATTTTGTTCTTGAGAGAGTGAAAGAGGAGGAAGAGGAGGAGGAGGCTAGGGTTTTGTCAAGGGGGGGATCTGGGATGTTTTGATTAAGAAGGGGGATCCGGTTGGGCCGGCCGGGTCGGGCAGGTGGGGTTTTGGGCCGTCGGAATTGGGCCAATTTGGAACAAGAAGCAAAAGACCTTGTTCTTCTTTTATTTGATCTTTCAAAAATAGCCACATTACTACTAATTGAATTTGTTTTGCCAAAACGACCTAATTAGCATTTTAACTAATTAATTAAACTAATTGATTAAAGCTAATGTATATTTTTTTTTTTTGTGATTTTTGTTTTACTCATCCTTTTAACCTATGATTAATTCTCAAATGTAATTAATACACTAAATGAAAGATAAAAAATATTTTTGATGATTTATTATAATTTAAAACATTTCTAAATATGCATGAACAATGCAAATAAATGCAAAACAAATAAAATAAAATTTCCTAAAATGCTATAAAAGCAATTAAAAAAAATTTGGACTATTTTTAGGAGTAAATTCCTATGTGGGGCAAAAATTAGGTGTTCACAGTTGCCCGCCCCTCTTTGCTTGGAAACATGAAGAGTTTTGAGGCAAAGACAAAGTGAGTCATATGACTACTTTTTGACCATGCCATTATTCAAAAAGGAAGAAACAAAGAAAAGAAAAGAGAGTGCAACCGAGTCCTGATTTTGGACAGCGTACATATCTCGGGCTATAAGGGAATCAGGTCGCGTGTAGTTCAAAGAGAGTGGTGGAATGATGAGTTGCTGAGTCGAGTGAGGTTTCTTCGAGGCTCCAGTCCGTGGTCCTGTTCACACATCAAAATCAAAATCAAAACAAACTAAATAAGCCTATCAGCTATGAATTACAAGATTCATATCTATAAGTCTTCTAAACCTTGATCTTGAGTCTTGACTGGTTCTTCATGCAGACTTTGGTATAAATCTTGATTCTTGCTAGCTGAAGGTGCTAGTTCATTCTTCTACGATTTTTTCTAATCAAAACGGGAAATGCAATGCTCGTGACTTTAGTCATGTCGTGAGCAGTCTACATCCTTTCAACCGTTTTGGATTCGTTTCTTTTTTTTCTTTATTCTGGATTGAGACTCCTTTTGATCATCTTGAACCTCGTGTCTTGAGGAAAAAACCTGCTCATACACCAAAACGAACAAACAAACGAAATTTTTCTGCCTCAGTTTTCACTAGGAATATTTCGTGAATTATTTGTAACAAAACTCTATACTACTTCATTATGGAAAGCAATAAAGTCGGGATTGGTATACCTTGAGAAAACAGAGACTAGGGAGTGGAGACCCTATGTCTAAAATGAAAACAACTAGGGAGTGGAGACCATATATTGAAAAATCGACTAGAGAGTGAAGACCATATGTCTAAAATAAAATCAATTAGGGAGTGGAGACCATATGTTGAAAAAGCGACTAGGGAGTTGAGACCCTATGTCTAAAATAAAATTAACTAGGGAGTGGAGACTCTATGTTAGAAAAACGACTAGGGAGTGGAGACTCTATATCTAAAATAAAATCAACCAGGGAGTGGAGACCCTATGTTAGAAAAGCGACTAGGGAGTGAAGACTATATGTCTAAAACAAAATCAACTAGGGAGTGGAGACCCTATGTTGGAAAAACGATTGCTAATTTTATTTTTTTATTTTAATATATTTTTAAAACTCCAACTTGAAACTACTACCCAATTTGAATGGGTAATTTTTTTTATTTTTTATAGCTAATTATAAGATATCCATATTTATTAATTCAAATAGAGTAACCAATTAATTCAAAATTTAAAATTCAAAAGATTTTTTAGTTAGAAAGGTAATTTATTTTGTCTTAAAACTCAACCTTGAAACAACTCCCAATTTTGATTCGGCAATTTTTTATTTATTTTTAATTTCGTTTTTTATTTAAAATAATTTTAAAACACCAACTTTGTTGAAGCTTTGTCCTAAATATCTATACGTGGCGTCTTATGGTTATACCACTTGGCATCATATAATTATTTACTTCTCTTTTTGTGTATATATATATATATATATATACACACACACACTATACATTAGAAAGAAAGTACTCTCCAATTTAGATTGGAAATTTTTTATTTCTTTATTTCCGTTTTTTTAATTTTAAAATAATTTTAAAACTCCAAATTGAAACCACATCTCAATTTGAATTGGCAAATTTTTATTTTTTTATTTTTGTTTTTTATTATAAAATAATTTTTAAACTCCAACTTGAAACTATTCCCCAACTTGAATAGGTAGGTTTTTTTATTATTAATATTTTGTTTTTTTATTGTAGCTAATTTAAGTTTTTCTTATTTTTCGTTTTTTAATATTAAAATAACTTTAAAACTCCAACTTGAAACTACTCCCCAATTTGAACGAGTAGTTATTTTTTTTATATTTTTATTTTTTTAATATAGCTAATTATAAGATATCTTTATTTATTAATTCAAATAGAGTAACCAATTAATTTAAAATTTAAAATAGTTTTTTTAGTTAAAAAGGTAGTTTATTTTGTCTTAATAATGACACTTGGCTTTTTGTGGTTATGCCACTTTGTCTTAATAATGTGTTTTTGCTAGGAGTGGGCATAAAATCCGAAAAACCGAAAAATTGGACTTGACTGAATTAATTCGGTATTTCGGTATCGGTTCCTCGCTTCTTCGGTATTAATTCGGTATAATTTTTTTAAAAGTTCGGTATTTCGGTACGGTTCTCTGTATTGAACTTTCGATACTTCGGTATACCGAAATACCGAATTATATAAGGTCCATTTACATGGTAGATCAATTATTAGGAATTATATACAATAATAACAAATCCTTTTAAATATTATAGGATTAGCAGATCTAATAACAAATATAGCATGTTGGAAATATAATAGCATTCATAGTTGTAAATTGTAACGTTTGTATCCGCTAATTAAGGGATAAGTACCAAGTAAAAATTTACATCTTTTCTCTATCTTCTTTAAATAACGACTGAACAATCGTCTTTTAATTTCTTTCTCATCCATAATTCTCTATCATGTATGTTTCTCACCTTCTCTCTTTAGGGTTTCTCTTTATTCTGTCATCATATGTGAATTTTTTTTTTATAGATAAACTCTGCTTCATAATTGCTACCAAATCCAGGTCGTGAAAAAAGTGCCTTCAATAATTTTTTTTTGCTATTCAAAAGTAAATCAAGTTGATAGACCAGGCTCCAAAGAACTTATTGACAAACTACATATATACCATTTTTATACCTAACATAAGTAAATGTTAACTAAGTTGAAGAGTTCGTACATACCAATTTTATATCAAGCAATAACAACAATAACAACAATCAAGTATAATCCACTTGTGGGGTCTGGGGAGGATAGTGTATACGCAGACCTTACCCCTACCCTGGGATAAAAAGGTTGTTTCTGATAGATACTCGGCTCACTCGAACTCATAACCCCTTGGTTGGAAGTGGAGAGTGCTTACCACTAGAGCAACCCACTCTTATGGCAAAATTTTATACCAAGCACAATTAAATAAATAGAATATACCACATATTTGAAGACAAAGTACATAAAAATTTTATACCTAAACACAATCAAATAAATAAAATATACCATGTATTTTGAAGATAAAATACGTAAAACTTTTATACCAAAATATAATTAAATAAACAGAAGATACCATATATTTTAACTGTGTCTAGGCATAAAAATGGTATGTACTTCCTCTTCAAAATACATGGTATATTTTTGTTTATTCAATTTGTTTAGGTATAAAAATGGTATGTACTGTATACTTGATTAAAATTTACTTGGTTACGTATACTACTTGGGTGTCGAGTCTGGGTGTAAAATGAAAGATATGGGAGTACATATGTACATATAATAGGCAGATATAATATGTATAATATACTTAATACATATTGTACTATTTATTAAGAGGTCGATGTGGAAAAGAATATGGGAGAAATTAAAAATGATTTATGGGGGAGGGGAATGATGTATTTGCAATGAATATGATTAGGAGATTATAGGAGGAAATTAAAGGAGATAAAATTGAAGTCCTAATTTTTTGGAGAGATTTTTGGGATAGGAAATTGCGACATTCTTGGAGCACTAAAGGGATGCCAAGTTATTTTTAGGTTTCTACTACTTATGTAAATAATACACTGCCACAATTGAAATATACTCAATAGTGCTAGGATTTTGTATATATTCTTTTAAAATGTGATACTTATGAAAGTTTCCCATTATATAAGTAAGCCTTCCTACTGCCCAGCCCAAATTATCAATTCTCCGACCAATTCGAATTAGGGGTGGACGTTCGGTATTTCGCTACGGTATTTAAAAATTTCGATTCGATATTTGGTATATTAATTGTGAATACCAAATACCGTACCAAAATAATTCGGTACGGTTCGGTATTTTCTTGTTTGGTTCGGTACGTTTCGGTATCGTACCATATCTTTGTTAACTAAACAGTGCTAAGCTAATTCATTAAAAATTTCTAATTACGTGATAATGAGTATAACAACAACAAAATGTGAGCAGTACCTTCACTTCTTCTAATAATTTCTAATAGAAATCACTACATGAACATAACAGTAGAATGTGAGTAGTTTCTTAATTTCTTTACTCTAATAATTTATACTAGAAAGCACATCATTAGAAAAATTCTAATAAAGTGATAAATGAGCATAACAGCAACGGATGTGAGAAGTTCCTTTACTTTTTCTAATAATTTCTAATGTTAGGTTGAGGAGTTGGGCTTAGTCTCGGTGGGTTACATGCTAAGGGTAAGAACTAACAAGTTAGAAATGTTGGGCTGAAAATTGATAACTTGGGTTGGCAGTGAAGGAAGGTGTACTTAAATAATTCGGTATTTCGGTATACCGAAATATCCAAACTTCAATATCGAGGACCGTACCGAAATATCGAAAAACTAAAAATCTTATACCGAAGTAGGACCGAAATACCGAATAAACCGATAGCGAAATACCGAATTAATTCAGTCCGATTTAGAATTTAATTTT